GGTTGCATCACTGGAGGGGACGAAGTGGCTTATAGGAGAGAGGTGGCCGGTCTGGTGTCATGACAACAACCTCACCCTCAACACTGATAAGAGAAAAGAGATGATAGTGGACACAAGACCTCACCAGCCGCTGTTTATCCGGGGCTTTGAGGTGGAGAGGGTGAGCAGCTTTAGATACCTGGGCGTCAACATCACTGAGGACCTCACCTGGACACTGAACACCACACAGCTGGTCAAGAAGGCTCAGCAGCGGCTGTATTTCTTGAGGAAGCTGAGGAAATTTGGTATGTTGGCCAAGATCCTCAGCAGGTTCTACAGCTTCATTGTGGAGAGCACACTGACCAGCTGCATCAGTGCATGGTATGGCAGCACTACTGCTATGGACTGCAAACGCCTGCAGAGAGTGATAACAACCGCGGAGAAGGTCACCCCGCTGCCCTCTCTGCAGAGCATATACCATCGCAGAGTCCAGAGGAGAGCTGACTCTCACCCCAACCGGTCGCAGCAGATAGCCACCGCTCCCTGAGCCTGGTTTTGCCAGAGGTTTCTTCCTGTTAAAAGGGAGTTTTTCCTTCCCACTGTCGCCAAAGTGCTTGCTCATAGGGGGTCATATGATTGTTGGGTTTTTCTCTGTATCTATGAAGCGCCTTGAGGCGACTTTTGTTGTGATTTGGCGCTATATAAATAAAATTGAATTGAATTGAACTCCATCCTCAAAGACCCCACACACCCCGAACATGGACTGTTCACACTTCTAAACCTTTGTCCTGAGGGCAGAAGTGTCCAGAACATCCCGACTGAACAACTCCTTCTTCGCCACTGCTGACTCTTGAACAGCTGACCTATTTTAACAGTAAAAATAACCTTTGCACATCACATCATCTTACATATCAAACCAGCATATTAAGCTCATAGCTCTTTTGCATATAAATCTATTTATCTGTTTCAATTTTTGTTGTATGTATTTATTCATACTGTTTATATTTTATTTGTTCTAGTTCTATTTGTACATATTAACAGGCATCTGTGTGTGGACAGCAGAGAAAGAATTTCATTGCATAGAGAAATGCTTTTCTTTGTACACATGACAATAAACGTTTTGAATTTTGAATCTATTAATGTGCAAATGCACTGTTTATAAGGTTGGGGAAACCTGCAGAACTCACTTGGATGAGTGACTAAACGTTTCTCCCACTAAAAACGTCCAGATGAACAGAATCAACCTTTTGGGACTTCCTTACCTTGATGATTGAGCATGCATCAAAAGATCAGACAGAATATTTACAGACTACAGGTCACTTAAAATTAACATTTGGCACAAGCAGCTCACAGAGATAATTCCAGGTGGAGGAAACACCCAGTTTCAGTTTGAGTGCAAGCTTTAGGGATAGACAGAAGGAATAACTCTTGAGGTTAATGAAGCCAACTTTTGGGTTGGCACTTTTTGGATGTTGGTGTATGTGAAATGGGAGGGTCTTTAAATGAAAATGACTAACATTGACTTTTGAGAGAGAGAATAAAGCATTTTTTTTATCATGCTGGTTGTTAAAAAAGCCTAAATTGGCCCAAGAATGGAGCAGCTACTGCTTTCTGTATTGCCTTTTACCTGTAAGTAAAAAAGAGGCCACACCCCTAATAATGCAAAAGGGGAATTTTAAAAACATCCTTCCTCATACAGGTGTTATGAAAGGGGAAATTATCTATAGAAACTAAAACAGTTTGTGTATCAGGCTGTAAATACGTTTATTTTTACATGGGAGTCTATCCGTTTTTTAAGTGATGACGTATGAATCCTGCTTCCGAGTCCAGACTACTCTACGTTTATTAAGGCTGTTGTGTTTTTAACATGTTTTAATGATTTGTATCTTGAAGTCAGTAATCACTGTTTACCTTTCTCGGGTTTTATTACCACTATTCATTTTAAAGCTCAGTTTTTAAACCCTTACGATGTAACTACATCCCAGCCCATGCAGGAGTATATTAATGGCTAACCTCGTATTGTGGATGAATTATCTCAGTTGTTTCTCCTGACTGAAGTTTGGTCTCTTTACAGCATCCTGCCATGTGAATGCATTTGTCCCTAACCATTGGGAACACTCACGTTAACTTTTATCGAGTGGAAAAAAGTTAGCGTTCATCCTCCAGCTTCGGTCTGTTTATATTATGCTAACATAGCTGTGTAGCTAGCCACCGCATAGCACATCATTATATACCAGCTAGTGCAGCTTCAGTAACCCTACTAACGTCACTGCTGTTTAGTTTTCTGTCTTCATTTATGTCTGAAGTGATAACAGAGCTGTACGTTTTAATCTTACAGAAATCCCTCAGTCAGAACATGGTATATCATCTTTAGATGGAAAATAGTGAGCTAACGTCCTGCTAAATTCTAACTCCGTTAAATTTCAGAAATTCTGTTTTCATGGATGCTTGGATGTTTAACTTTACTGTTACACCTGGTAGAGCAGCCACACCGATCATTTAAACAGTCAAGAATTTATACAGTGATCTCACTCTCAGTGATGCTGCAGTGTTCGTTTGATTTAGGGACCTGAAGCAAAGTTTGGACCCAGAAACAGCTAATGACGTCAGACTTAAACACCAGATGGGACTGACTCTCTGCTGCTGCCTCTGCTGGACACTAGAGGAACTGTAGCTCTTTGTTTTCATATTTGCTGCATAGCAGATACACTTGTTCTGTTTGGAGGGTTAATGATGTTCATTAACAGGTGTGCTCACATCTGTAGACGACGCTCTCTTTTTCTGCATTTTGTCGCATTATTTTATCATAACTCTCTAAAAGAAGAAGATCAGTGCAGAGGTCTTATTTGAAGTACAGAAAAACAAGATGAGGGTACAAAATGATCTTGTAATCAATTAGCTATACAGTGTAAAGTGGATATTATAGATCTACCAGCTTCTATAAGGTATAATTTCTCAAATGTGCAATTATACCAACCTTCGTGTGAATTTTAAAAAGACTGGAAAAAGAAAGTCTTTCTGTTATCTGGAGTTTCTCAGCAGGATGTAAACCCACTACAGTGTCAGTGCTCACACTTTAAGCACTCTGATCCTTCAACAAAGAGAAAAAAACCTCAGATGCAGCAGGTTACTTCAACCAACTCAAACTAAACTCTTCATCTGTTCCAGTCTTCCTGTGTGATCGAGTAGTAATGATACGGTGTCCATGATAATACTAACAAAAAGGTAGTAATGCTCTCTCAGATCAGCTGACAGTTTGAACAGCACCATGAAAACTGCTAAACGAAATCATGAAATCAGATCGAAGGTTCAAAGACAGGTTTTGATTAGTTTAGATTACATTTTAAAGATTGAGGACGTCCACGTGGAGCCTCATCCATAGAAATGCTGCTGTTATAAATGCCTTTTAGTACCAGACATTAAGAAATGATGGTGGAAATGATGAAGCGAGCTGTTTCATGCCACATTTCAGACAAAAACAATGCACATTTTTTAACTGGAGTGATGACTGCTTCTGGTTTTTTGCACCAAGGGAGAAAAATGTGACACTGGAGATTTAACTGAGCTCAGGCCTGAAAGAACCGTCCATCAACACGACATCAGAGCCGTACAAACGCAGCAGGACATGTGGCCACAAGCAAAAGGTTCAGTGTTAGACTGTTACTGCAAAAGTAATCTAATTACTTTCTGCAATGACTAAGTAAAGTATGCATTACTTTCTTCATAATTTATTTTTCTGGAGGTTAAACAGCGGGGCGGCGCATCTTGTGTAAAATGTGTTGATCTCCAGCACCCTGACCTGTGCTGCGTATTGCTGTGAGGAGAGACTACGAGCAGGTGCAGCAAGTCTGAAACCCCGATGAATTGATTTTCCTGCCTGGACTAATTCTCCTGAGGTCTTGCTGGACGTCATGCATCACCAGAATGTGAAAACTGCCAAATAACTCATGGGGAAATATGTGAGTATTGAAAAGTGCAGTGAAGGAGTGTGAGTGCTTTATCAGAACCTGTGATGATGATGTGTTTGATGAGCAGGAGGTGCTCAGGTGCTTCTGAAGTGTGTGTCGCTGTCAAGAGTTTTACTCATCGATCACAGTGAGTCAGCTGTCAGGCTGCCAGCGCTTCGTTTTTCTCACACCTCAAACGTGTCAGGGAGTCTCGGAGAGTTTGATCCTCTGCACGAGCCAACAGCTCATCAGTGCCTGAGAGCCAAACTTCAGACTCTTCAAGACTTTCACAACAAAAGAGCTATTAAAGGAACTCATCAACCTGTCAGGCTGATGTTAGAGTGGCTTCTGTGAGGACTCTGGGGTACCACATGCTCTTTTTATTTCTCTAAATATTCTTGCAGGTCTATTACAATAACCAAGTAACTGCACGATTATGACTGTTTTATGGTTTTTATAAGATTTCTCAGTTAGGATATCATCAAAATATCACGCAAACATACTGAAATACACAAACATGAAAGCATGTCTGAGCCATCGCCCTCAGAAAAATGGACCAATGGATCAATCCACTCATTTTTAACTCCCAAATGATTAAATTCCTATGTGCTCACAGACAAACACAGGAGCAAAGAGAAGTGCTTTCATCTCATCATTGGATCCATCAGCCAATTAAACTTTATTAGCTTTTCATGCAGGTTATAGGCGCTTCACAGGTGACTGAAATATCTAATAAAACAGAACAAAGGACACAAAAGATGATTTTAAACCAAAAGAAATACATGCAAAATGCAAAGCTAGAGTTTATTTATCTTGGAAAACTTGGAAAATGCCTGCAGCACAAAAATATAAAGCAACCAACTTGCAAAGAAAAGTAGTATTATTCAAGCAGAAAAGAGTTCAATAAATGAAATCAATAAAATTGAACAGAAATAAAACGATTCATGCTGGGGACTCTTAGAGAGACATTCACTGATGTAACCGAACATCTGGCCACATCTGTTCTGGAATCACAAAGTTCCAAAAACTCAAAGAAATCCTGCTGACGAGCATCTACCGGGAGGTCAAGTGTACCTGCTTTCCTGAGCTTCCTGTTCCTGAACACGGAGACGATGACCAGCAGGTTCCCGATAACATCCACCACGATGGTCGCGATGAGGACGCCGGCCAGCAGGGTGGCCACCCAGGGCACGGCGTGGTGCTGCGGGGCCTCTCCTCCCGCGGCCGGCGTGGAGTTGCGGGGCCCCAGGGTGCCCGTCGCCGCGGTGGGCTCCCGGTCCTTCAGGGGCATCAGTTGCGGGAGGTGCCGGGGGTCGACGAGTCGCATCGGGTCCATTCAGCGTCACGCGAGGGGGTCAGAGCTGCGCGCGACGCCGCCTTCGGGCGTGCGGTTGTCCGGGTGAAGCATGCCGACGCGTCTGCGCAGGACTTTTCCCGCCTCACGGTTCAGTTACAGTCACAGCTCCGCGCCGCTGTTGTCACACTCACGTGCGCACAGACGCCTCTGTCCGCGCGCAGCAACTCCGCGCGCTTATAGCGCCCAGCCTGCCCGCAGCCGCTCTACGTCTCCGTCTGAGGAGAGGAAGACAACTCTAGCACTGTCTCCTCTGCTCCTCCCTCCTCCATTTCCTCCTCCCTCCCCTCTCTCTTCTTCTTTTACTATTTCTCATCTCTTCTTCCCCTCTTTCCTCCCTCTTCCCCTGCCTCCTCTCCTTCCTCTCCTGCTGCATCTCCATCTTCTCCTCTGTTGTGCTGTTTGAACCATTCTAATGGTTAATGTTCTAAATGATAATAAATGCCCATTCTATTATTTTCTATTGTACTGTATTGTGAGAAAGAGGAAATAAATCAGGAAGGTAGAAGAAGTGTGGTTAATGCTCTTGAAGTGCACAGCAAATTCAAAAGTGTTAAATGTTTCAGTGTTAATAGTCTTCTTGCAAAAGTAGAGTTAATTTTACTCTAAGCAGAGTCACATTCTTTTAATGTAACTCTGAGGTGTAAAATGATAGTAGTTAAAATCGAGTGTTAAAAATGAGTGTTTCTCTGTCAAATCTGGAGGTGTTACAATGGAAACATTAACTCTTGACCTCTTAACTCTGAACTCCTACAGGGGCTATGACACCAACAGAGTAAATTCACAGACTCCGCCCCCAGCACGGCTCCAATCGAAGCTGAAGTGAAGCCGTTTCAGAACATTTTGCTCTACATATTTGAGTTGTTTGCCATGCTTGGTAAGTCATTTTTTCAAAGATTGTTTCAATTATTATTATGAGCTTTTACTTCTGTGGCTCTTTGGAGTTGAGACAAAGCTGTGTGAAAGGCATTAGCCATGTTGCTCGCTGATAGCATAATATTCTGTTTTAGCTAGCTGAAAGGTATTGTTTGCAGGCAAATACCACAGCCTTGGAAAAAAGTTTGCATGTGAATTTTCAGTCAAAACGTTTGATGAAATACACCTAAAACAATGTCTAGAATGTGAAATGTTGGTATAATGGTGCTACTTGAAGCCTGAAAACGATCGCCCATAAAAAAAAAAAAAACACGAGCAAACAGCAGTAGCAGACGTCCTGATTGGATTCTACGTTAGCATTTAGATCCCTCCAGAGTTTTGTGCACACGGTTTAGGTAAAAATGAAAAAGGTTGAGGTTTTACATTTAGTTCAGTATTACCTTTTGCCTGTGTCCTTGTCTTTTGGGAAAATACTTTACACAAGTAATGGCTCAAAGAGGATTCCTTTTTTTTTTTACTGTGCTGCAATTGTTTACTGGATTATTTGTGCCATTAATTAGTGTCAACTAATTTTTATTCGATCTCCGCACAGGATATGCTTGTGAAGATGGAATATGGGGGAGAGCAGAAGTGCGTTGAAGTTCCACAAAGGGATGAATGAAGGACATGCATATTGTATTGAAGAAATAAGTGATGAGAATGCTGTTATTTGCATTTACCAGCTCACCTATGTCAGACCTTTTGATAAACAAAATTCTAATGAAAGTGAGAACATGTACACTGTTACATCTTTCAGAAAATGTTTTGAAATTGTGGTGCACAGTTCAGAATAAATGTTTTTCAAAAACCATTGCATCTTTTTAGTAAATGTTTATTTCCAAAAGAAATTTCTAGAAGTTCAGAACAGGAAAATTCCCGCTTTTTAGAATGAATTAGAAGATAACTCTTACGTAGTTAAACTAAAATACTCTTTGAGAGTTAATATATAAACTCTTAACACCAAGTGATAAATTATCAACTCCAGACAGATTTGGTGTTTAACACTAAATCAGAGTTAACGTACCAACTCTCCAAAAAGAGTTAAATTAACACTCTCTGGTGTGGACCCATATAGACACTTTAATAGTGTTGAAATCAAATCCGACAGTGTTAATTTGGACATGCTGGATTTGCTGTGTGGAATATTTGAACCCTGACCCCATGATCTCTCTCCTTGCTAAACCCAGGTGCTTCCAAAATCTCAAAGTTTGTGGCAGGAAGCCCCGAGGGCAAATTTCTCCCATTGGCACAAGAAAACATAAATCCCTTAACCCCCCCCCCCCACCACCACCACCACCACCACAGATCCACGAAAAGGACTCATGTAAGGAGGTGCTCCAACAGGTCATTTACAACAGCACTCATCTCTGATTCTGAGCACAACTTTTCGTATCTTAAATTCACAAAGTGACCCATTTTACTCTGAGCTGATTTTTGTTCTTCCAGGGAGTGTAGAGAGGTGAATATCCAGGCCACAGACAGGAGGAGAAAGACGGCATGAGTAACATTAGTGGCCCACAGATGGGCGAAGGTTTTCACGATCTGCGGGACTAATGCAGTGTTTTACTTAATCACCCACAGATTTGACTGAACTAATCATCTTAGACATGGGAACAATGATGGAATCACCTCGCTTCACAGAGATGAGACCAAAAATGAAATCATGTTTTTTCAGATGAAGTGGAAGAAAAAAGATGGACTCATTAAAAACACATCAGCTGCTGCCGTGCTGCACCTGCTCTGTGGCCAAATTCATTGTCATCCGGCTTCTTACATGAGCAGGAAATGTGCTTCTCATCTTCAGTCATTTTTAAAGGTACAAAGGTACATACAAAGGTTTGTTTTCCCAATAATATGCTGCTGTAATAGGAACCCTTTTCCCCCGCCCTCACCTCCCACCCTGCTCTCTTCCAAACCTACAAAAAAAAAAAAAAAAAACCACAAACAAACGTTGCACGCAGCCATCTGGAAATAAAACGTGATACATTGGCAGTTCATACAACAAATTGACATAAAAAAAAAAAACCCACGTAGAATATGTATACATTTGTACAATATGTGGCATTTATACATATTCAAGGAAACAAAAAAGAAAGGAGAGAAAAAAAAAGTAGACAATAGAAATAGCTAGCACATACTAAACAATTTTCTCCTCATCCACACTCCT